CGACCATGGTTTGAGTCCCAGACCCAGTTGCTTAGACTCACAACGGATGTGTGTGCATGCATGCTCAATTTCCTGAGTGGAAAATGGAGAAGGGATTCCATTGTTGCCATTTCACCTGGGGGGTGATTGCTTGCTTTCTGTCTCTCTGGCTCTCTCCTTTTTTCTGGTGAGCTCATGTGCCCTATAGGAGAAACCTCTCCAAAAAAAAAAAAAAAAAAAAAGAATTATTTTATTTATTTATTTTTGAGTTTAAATGCATTTTGTTTTTAGACAACCTACATGACATGTTTTTTTTCCCTTAAAAACAGTATCTCCACTCCAAATAAATCACAGTCAAATAAACGAAGAGCTCAAGATGACATCAGTCCCATTTGTCTTTAGTCCTGGTGTTTTGTGGATAACAAGCAGCAGTTATGACGACAGGTGATAGATCCAAAGTAGTTACCAAATTTGTTCACATTTTTCCATTTTTTTAAAAAATTAATTTATTTATTCATTTATTTTTTAGACAGACACACACACACACACACACAGAGAGAGAGAGAGAGAGAGAGAGAGAGAGAGAGAGAGAGAGAGAAGCAAGCCACCAGGTCCAGGACTTTAACCGTGGTCAGCCATGTGGGAGTGTCCAGCACCTTAACCACCATGCCACCTGCTGGTCTAAACATTTTTCCATTTCTAAACCATCCTTAAAATCATATATGGGGTCACACCATCCTCACGGTCGTCCAGTAGAGCAACCATGCTGTCTGGATTTATGTTCTCATGCATTAAGAACTGGTAGTTTTGGAAGTTAGTGAGAATATGCTTGGTTTGTTCTGCAGCCCCTGTCATAAACGGTTTTATTCTTTCTGGTCTCTGTTCTTCAAGTTTGCCTTTGATTGATTTCATATAATCTTTGATGTACTTCTTTTTTTATTTTTCCTTTCTTTTTTTGGAGAGGTTTTTGCTATAGGGCACGTGCGCTTGCCAGACAGACAGAGAGAGACATGAGACAGAAAGCAAGAAATCACCCCCTGGGGGGGATGGCCACGCCACAATCCCTTCTCCTCCATTCTCCTCTCGGGATTTTGGGCACGCATGCGCACGCATCTGGCGTGAGTTTAAGCTACTGGGTCTGGGACTCAAACCGTGGTTGACTACATGGGAGTACACCGACATAGCCATTGCACCAACCGCTGGTCCCTGATGCACTTCTTTTGTGAAGCCGGGTTCCTGCAAGTGATGGTTCATGACAATGTCAACACCGGTGACTGTTGTGCTTTTAGTACCTTTGCCCTCAGGGCCTTCAATGGAGGCATTTTCTTTTCTTTGGTTTTTTTTTTTTTTTTGGAGAGGTTTTTGCTATAGGACACATGCGCTCACCAGACAGAGACAGAGACACAGCAGAAAATCACCCTCCAGGGAGGATGGCCACTCCGCAATCCCTTCTCCTCCATTCTCCTCTCCGGATTTTGGGCACGCATGCACACGCATCTGGCGTGAGTTTAAGCCACCGGGTCTGTCGACTACGTGGGAGTCCAGCGACATAGCCATTATGCTAACTGCTGGTCCCCAATGGAGGCATTTTCACCAATGAACAAGTCATCAATGTTACCCTCTGTCCTACTGACCATCTTCCCCTCCACCTCCAGGCACAGCCCGTCCGCGATCTCCCGGATCTTGTAAATGTCGGAGAACATCTCACTGTGGCTGATGAAGTCCCATTAGATAATTATGATGGCTGCTGGAGGGAGACCAAGAATTATTTATTTTATTATTATTATTTTTAATTTCATCAGAGAGAGTGAGAAAAAGAGAGGGAGAGTGAGAAAGCAAGCCGCTGGGTCCAGGACTTGAACCACAGTCAGCCATGTGGGAGTCCAGCGTGCCAGTCACCATGCCACCTGCTGGCCCCTAGGAAATTGTTTTAAAATCTTTTGGTAGGTGTGTGTGTCCATACATGTGACATGTTATTTTACATACTATATGTTGTATGTCTGTGATAAAAGGCCTTATGGAATTCCATTCAATTTGATTCATAAAAAAGAGAGCTCATGGGACCAGCAGTTACCGTAATGGCTATGTCGCTGAACTCCCATGTAGTCGACTGCAGTTCGAGTCCTGAACCCAGTGGCTTAAATTCACACCGGGCGCATGTGCATGCGTGCCCAGGATCCCGAGAGGAGAATGGAGGAGAAGGGATTGTGGCGTGGCCATCCCCCCCAGGGGGTGATTTCTTGCTTTCTGTCTCATGTCTCTCTCTGTCTTTCTGGCAAGCGCACGTGCCCTATAGCAACCTCTTAAAAAAAAAAAGCACTCATACAAATTAATTTAAATACTTTTCTAGTTCAAATCATAACTTAAAATCATTGACAAATACGCCGCCTTCAGTAGCAAGTGAAGATCTTCACAATTTCCAACATGTACTTTGTTCAGAGTTTTATTAATCAGGCAACATCAGGTTTCATTTATTATAATTGGTTCAATAAAACAGCTAATATTCATGTTATACATTATATGTTACATGGTAGATATCTGACCTACAGGGAAAATGGGTGAGTTACTAAACTTCTTTAACATTTTGTTCCTCACAGGTAATTAAAATATAATAGCTAAAAAAAGTTTTAAGTGCTGTTTAATAAGACTGATTTTCCTAAACTTCAAAATTTTAATTCTCTTGTGGTTCAGTTACAGGACTACTGGCTAAAAACAGTAAAAAGTACATCTCTTACAATAATTATATGTAATCCATGCATTGGTCTTTCAGTCATTTTGTTTGTCTCTAAAAGTCATATCTGACTACGGTAGTCTACCATGTATTTTTTTTAATGCTAACAAACAAAGTTCACCCTTTTCATCCCTAAGACACTTAAAACAGTTAACTTTCATTTTCTACAGTTAAGTTAAATATTTAAGCTTTTGCTATTTTTAATAAGTTTTCCCCAGAATAAAATTCTAAATTAAGTTCTTTTTTTTTTTTTTTTTTTTTTTTGAGATGTTTTTCACTATAGGGCGCATGCGCTCGCCAGACAGACAGAGAGAGACAGAGAGACAGAGAGAAAGAGGGAAAGTGAGAAAGCAAGCTGCCAGGTCCAGGACTTGAACCACGGTTGGCTATGTGGGAGTCCTGTGCCCTTAACCACCATGCCACCTGCTGGCCCCTAAATAGGTATTTTTAATATATGTTTTTAATTTTAAGAAAGGAAGTTTTAGCTTTAATAAATCAAAATAAAAAAATGTTAAGAGAACTTTCCTTAAGACTTAGAGCAAGGAAGCAGGTTAGGATTCTGTTCAAATAGTAGTTACCTGGATCTGTTGACAATTCAAGAGACAACAAAAATCCTTACATCTGGACTACAAAGCATAGAAAAAGATCAGTATTGTTTTAGTCAAAATCATAAAATTCTGTTTCATCAGCTCAGTCTCATAACTTCTGTTGTGGTCCAAACTTTCCATTTGAATTCTAGAAGATAATATTCAACTCCAGACTTGTCCCTACCATTAAGCTGGCCCTTTTCTTAATAACATTTCTTAAAAGTTTTTAAACTCTTATTTCTGTGTGTCTGACTTCAGTTTTCCTGATATAACACTCCCTTTAGAACTTCTTGGAGAACTGGTCTGGTTCTATTGGTAGAATAGAACTGGTTGGTAAATTCTTTCAGGTTTTGTTTATCTGAGAATGTTTTTGTCTTCTCTTCCCACATGAAGGATAGTCTTGCTGGGTATAGTATTCTTGGTTGAAATTGTTTTTCACTCATCACTGTGAATGTATTTTCCCATTTTTTCCTTGTTCACATTGTTTCCAATGAGAGATCTGCTATTAGCCTGATGGGATATCCTTTGTAGGTAACTTGCCGTTTCTCTCTTACTAGTCTGAGTATCTTGTCTTTGTGGTTTTGGTCAATCTGGCTATAATGTGTCTTGGAGAAGATCTTCTTGGCCTGATTCTATTTGCAGTCCTATATATTTCTTGGGTCTGGATCTTTGAATGCCTCTCTAGGTTTGGAAAGTTTTCTTCCAGGATTTCATGGAATAGATTATCAATGCCTTTATTAGTCTCTTCTTCTGGGACACTGATTATCCAGACGTTTAGGCATTTAATGGTATCTAGTATTTCTCGTCTATTATTCTCATTTTTGGACTATTTTCTGTCTTTATGGTAGATTTTTCTAGGCCAGCAATTCTGTCTTCTACATCTGAGATTCAGTCTTCTGTATGATCTAGTCTGCTTTTAATACTTTCAAGGGAGGTTTTTATTTCCTGTACTACAGCCTTCATCTCTATCAGTTCCATTTGATTCTTTTTTATGATGTGTATTTCTTCTTTTAGATTGTGTGAGAACTTTCTCACTTCTTGGAACTCCTCAGCTCTATTCTCTGCCTCTTCTGGAATTCATTGTCTCTCTTCTCTTGCATCTCTGTTAGCTTTGTCACTATGAATATTCTAAATTCTTTACCAGACATTTTCATGTGTTCCATTGTACTGTCTGTGGATGAAGAGGAGTTATTCTTTTCCCTTAGGGGGGAGGTATTATTTTGGTTTTTCATATTTCTTGTGCCTTTGCAGTGATTTCTAGTCAGCTAATGGGTTATACTATTCTTCCTAATTTCTAGAAGTTCAACCTGAGTGTGCAGGGATGTACAGGAGGAGGTGATCTGCAACCTTGTTGCTGTTCCATTTTTATACCTTTGTGCAGCAGATGCAGTGGGTATTGAGGAATTTGTTTACCTTAATAGTATTTGGATGTTTGGCTAGGGTTTCCTTAGATCTGTCTAGACACTCAGTGCATGGAGACTGAGCAGCAAAGTGATGAGGAATAAGAAAAGAGAGAAAGAGAAAAAAAAGAGAGAGAAAGGGAAAGAAAAAGGAGGAAAAAAGAAAAAAAATTAATTAAAAAAAGCAAAAAATGAAAACTGTGAGACTGAATTATCAGTAGACAATCTTGGTTTCTCTTATTCCCTGAAAGCACTAGTTTTCAGCTGCAGTGGAGGAGTCTTATTCTGAAGGCCTGCCCCTTGCCTCTCCACTCGAGTATGGAGGCTGGAGGCTGAATTATCAGTAGACAATCTTAATTTTTCTTATGCCCTGAAAGCACTAGTTCCAAAATAACTTTAGGATGTTTATAGAGGGCCTCTGAAACATCTAAAAGACAAACGTTAAACCAGTCAGGCTTATTCTAGTATTAAATTATACGAGAAACATTGTCAAATTGACTAATTTTAATTTTCTTTACATTATGTTTAAGTTATATGTATAGATAAATTATACATATATTTTCGTGTGTGTGTATATATTTTTAATTTTTCTGTATTTATATATGTATTGTATTCCAAAATAGCTTAAAATTCCTAGCAATCTATAATATAATATTTATCTGGCATGTCATACTTTATATTAAACTGGTGTATGTTATAAATATAGCCAAATTTCTTTATCAATTATAAATTCTTGTCAGAGCATTAGCTAGAGCAAGTTCAAGTCTTATCGTCCATGGGTAATTGCTTTAACACTTTTTTGAAAACTTTTTGCAGATGACTATAACCCTAATTGTCTCTGGCAGAGAAGTCGAGTCCACCTGATCCTCAGTTTTCTATACTTGTGTGTCTTTGTTGTTACATTTATTTCTAATCCATAGCCTCCCCACTGAGAAACTGCGTTCTGCTGAGTGGGTCCTGGCAATCTGTACCAAACCTGTTGTTACATATTTATTATTATTATCATTATTATTATTAGAGAGATTTTTGCTACAGAGTGTATACACTTGCCAAATAGACACAGACAGACAGAGAGACAGAAAGCAAGAAACCAACCCCCAGGGGAGATGGCCACTCCTCCATCCCTTCTCCATTCTCTTCTTGGGATTTTGGGCATGCATGCACATGCACCCAGCATGAGTTTTAAGCCACCAGGTATAGGACTCGAACAGCAGTTGACTACATGGGAGTCCAGCGACATAACAATTGTGCCATCTGCTGGTTTCCATTTTTTTTATTGTTTTTAGTTTTTGCCATAGGGTGTGTTTGCTCACTGAAGAGAGACAGAGAAAAAGTGAGAAATTACCTCCCAGGGGCATAATCACTCCCATCCCTCCTCCATTTTTTCTCTAGAGATTTCAGGCACTCACACATGTACGCCTAGTGTAATTTTTAAGCCACCAGATCTGGGCGTTTGAACCATGGTCAGCCATGTAGAAGTCCAGTGCCTTATCCACCATGTCAACTGCTGGGCCCTAGTCATTATTATTAATTACCATCACTCCCCAATTTTAGAGGGAAAAACTGAAGCACCCAGAGGTACCACCTCTTTCGTTAGAGCATCAGACCCTGCTTGCCTGCCCTCACGCCGGTGCTCCAGGATAGTGCCGGTGTGCCTTTCTCATTCACGACGTGATTGCTGATAGAACAAAATGGCAGTGCAGTAGATGATGTAATGGTCACGTCGTTGGACTGCCACACGGTCGACCGTAGTTCGAACCCTGGACCTGAAGGCTTGAAACTCACACCAGGCATGTGCGTATGTGCGTGCAAAATCCCAAGAGGAGAATGGAGGAGAAGGGTTGAGGCATGCTCATCCCCATAGGGGGTGATTTCTTGCTTTCTGTCTCTCTGTCTATCTCTATCTCTGGTGAACACATATGCCCTATAGCAAAAATCTTTCTCAAAAAAAAAAAAAGTTTTTTTCTCATAGTAGGAGATTTTAGAGAGAAGTAGAAACAAACTCATTGAATACTTTGCTATC